CTTTTTCAAGAATTCTCTGCAGTTTAGAGTGTGGGTCTACTACCTATGGTCACAGGGACATTAAAAAACTTCTGTAAGCCATTATGGATAGAGCAACAAAAGCACATAACCCCTGTCAGGGGTTTTTCATCTGTGTCCCATTGGGGTGATTTCTCTTCTTTTCCTATCCCATAGCTAAAACAGGAAGTGAGAGGAAATTCCTGGTTATCACCAGAACTAGTGTCCTCACTGGAACATTTCCGCTTTATTACTGTTATGGGGGAACTCAAAATTTGGGATTTTATTTCACTTTCTGTAATAAATAGAGATGGTGAATATCCCAAACCGGAGCACAGAAAACAATAAAAACCTAATAGGTGTCCTAACCTGCCTCCGCTCTATCCAAAACCTTAAAAAACTTTTGCCTTTAGTTATACTTTAAGTTTTCTAAACTGTCACTAGACATGAATGGTGGACACTGCCAGAACTTCATGAAACCCCAAAACGTTGGATACTCTAAAAAAGTCTAAAACAGCTCTCGTGATCAAGAATTTGGTCCACCACCTCTTTTGCAGCTCATTATTGGTCAATTAGGCCATCTATCAAACAATAAAAAAGAAAAATTCCGAGCTCTAACTTGCCAGCCAGCCTGCAAACAAATCAAATTAACCTAACAGTATGCTTCAAAAACAGGGGTTTAGTTAGCACACATTTGCAAACACATGCGTAAGCTACAGAGCCTACTCACAGCACCCCAGTATTCTGTAGTTCATAGCTCTCCAATTGTAAGAGCCCCCATAGTAAAGGCACATGTATTTAATGGATAGACCAAGGTCAGATGGACCTGTGGGAACCTCCTTAGGTACAGGAGCGCACTGGACACTCAGCACATAGCACAATGGCAGCTAAGGTGTCCAGTGCACACCCTCGACCAACAATTCAACAGTACAAAAAATGGCCACTGCCCCAGTCTATAACTGGCCTTCACAGCAAGGAGCACATGGAAGGGTGACGAGTTACGAACTACAGACTGGGGTGACGTGATGAGGCTCTGCAGCTTACGCATGTATTTACAAATGTGTGCTAACTAAACCCCTGTTTTTAATGCATACTGTTAGACAGGTTAATTTGGTTTGTTTGCAGGCTAGCTGGCAAGATAGAGCTCAGAATTTTTCGTTTTTGTTGTTTGACATGCATCGCCCTTCCATGTGCTCCTTGCTGTGAAGGCCAGTTATAGACTGGGGCAGTGGCCATTCTTTGTACTGTTGAATTGCTGGTCGAGGGGGTGCACTGGACACCTTAGTTGCCTTTGTGCTACATGCTGGGTGTCCAAGGCACTCCTGTAGCTTTAAGGAGGGGTGGGCTCCCTCAGATCCATCTGCCCTTGGTCTATCCATTAAATACATGTGCCTCTGCTATGGGGGCTCTTAAAATTGAAGAGTTAAAAACTACAGAATACTGGGGTGCCATGATGAGGCTCTGTAACTTATGCATGTGTTTGCAAATGTGTGCTAACTAAACCCCTGTTTTTCACTCATACTGTTAGACAGGTTAATTCAGTCTGTTTGTAGGCTGGCTGGCAAATTAGAGCTGGGAATTTTTCTGTTTTGTTGTTTGGCAAGCATCATCCTTCCATGTGCTCTTTGTTGTGAAGGCCAGTTATAGACTGGGGCAGTGGCCATTTTTTGTACAATTAGGCCATCTATCCTTGATAGGGACCAATGGTGAAGCATTAGAAGCTATAGGTTGTGGGTCTGAGTTCTTGAGCACATGTTCTGAACAGAAGCTTAGTAAATGAGGCAAATATTCACTTTGCCAAGAATACCCAATCATGTGCAAGGAAAATGAAAAAAAAACAGCATTTTTGCTTGGACATGATTGGATGATGGAAGTCAGCAGAGCTTCTGCTCATTTACTAAACTCTGGAGCAACCGCACTTACAGAATGCAGCTGCACATTGTAAAGTGCATAGTCTATTCTCCTTTAGTAAATCAATCCCATAGATAGTATGGGAGGAGCTCAGTGACACTATGGAGCCAGTTGTGTATTTTGGGTATGTGCTGCCCTAGGCAAGATTAAAATTGGGCACCCCCATCTAAATGTGTCCCTCCCTATGCTGTTTAAGATCCACCTCTTCAAGACAGGAGCATGATGGAGGGGGCAGTGTGACATGGGGGGGGGGGGGGGGGTGGGTGTCGTGGGACAGGAGGGAGGCAGCGTGATGGGGGGCCGCAGGACGGGAAGGGGGAAGTGGGATAGGAGAGGGGCAGCATGACGGGGGATATCAGGACAGGAGTAGGCCATTGGGACAGGTTGGGGGGTAGCAGGTCAAGAGGGAGGCAGCGTGACAGGGGGAGAGCAGCATGATGGGGGCAGCGTGATGGGTGGGGAGGCAGAGGGACAGGTGGGGGGCAGCGTGACGGGGAGCACGGGACATGATCGGGGAAGCGGGACAGGAGGAACGCAGTGGGCCAGGAGGAGGAGTGCAGAGGGACAGGTGAGGGGCAGAAGGACAGGAGGAGTGCAGAGGGACAGGTGAGGGGCAGTGGGACAAAAGGAGCACAGAGGGACAGGTGGGGGGCAGCATGATGGGGGGCATGGGACAGGATAGGGGCAGCGGACAGGAGGAGCACAGAGGGACAGGTGGGGGGCATGGGACAGGAGAGGGGCAGCGGGACAGGTGGAGCACAGAGGGGCAGGAGGAGCGCAAAGGGACAGGAGTACAGAGGGACAGATGGGGGGCAGCATGATGGGGGCATGGGACAGCATAAAGGCAGCGGGACAGGAGGAGCGCAGAGGGACAGGTGAGGGGCAGTGGGACATAAGGAGCACAAAGGGACAGGTGAGGGACAGTGGGACAGGAGGAGCCCAGAGGGACAGGTGATGGGCAGCATGATGGGGGCATGGGACAGGATAGGGGTAGCAGGACAGGAGAAGCGCAGAGGGGCAGGTGAAGGGCAGTGGGACAGGAGGAGCGCAGAGGGACAGCTGGGGGGCAGAATGACAGGGGGCTTGGGACAGAATAGGGGCAGTGGGACAGGAGGAGCACAGAGAGACAGGAGAAGGGCAGTGGGACAGGAGGAGCACAGAGGGACAGGAGGAGCACAGAGGGACAGGAGAAGGGCAGTGGGACAGGAGGAGCACAGAGGGACAGATGGGGGGCAATGTGACGGGGGGCATGGGGCAGACTTAGGGCAGCAGGACAGGAGGAGCGCAGAGGTACAGGTGAGGGACAGTGGGACAGGAGGAGCGCAGAGGGACAGGTGAGGGACAGTGGGACAGGAGGTGCGCAGAGGGACAGGTGGGTGTCAGCATGACGGGGGGCACGGGACAGGATAGGGGTAGCGGGAAAGGAGGAGTGCAGAGGGACAGGAGAGGGGCAGTTGGACAGGAGGAGCGCAGAGGGACAGGTCAGGGGCAGCAGGACGGGGGGCATGGGACAGGATGGGGGCAGTGGGACAAGAGGAGCGCAGTGGGGCAGTGGGACAGGAGGAGCACAGAGGGACAAGTGAGGGGCATCATGATGGGGGGCATGGGACAGGATCGAGGCAGCGGGACAAGAGGAGCGCAGTGGGGCAGTGGGGCAGTGGGACAGGAGGAGCACAGAGGGACAGGTGGGGGGCAGCGTGAAAGGGAGCATGGGACAGGATCAAGGCAACGGGACAGGAGGAGCGCAGAGGGACAGGTAAGGGGCAGTTGGACAGGAGGAGTGCAGAGGGACAGGTGGGGGGCAGCATGACTGGGGGCATGGGACAGGATTGAGGCACCGGGACAGGAGGAGCGCAGAGGGACAGGTGAGGGGCAGTGGGGAGAGATGAGGGGGGGGTAGTGGGACAATGTTGGGAACAGGAGAGGGGAAGTGTAACAGGTGTGGGGCAGGGTGACAGGTGGGAGCAATGTGATGGATGGGGGTGGGAAGTAGAACAGGTGGGGCACTGGGGGGCAGTGTGTCGGGGGGACAGTGAGACAGGAGTGGGAAAGCACCAGTCCTCCAAGAACTTACCTGTCCAGCAGGGTGCCTGTGTTCCCCAGGATCTCCGGCGGCTGCTGCAAAAGAGCGGGAGGGCTCCTTCACCCTGACCTTGTCCTCTTCTTCTTCCTCCTCCACGGCACCTTCTGGCCATCCTGCACATCTGCAAGATTTGTCTCCCACACTGACAGCGGGCCCTCACGCGCTCTGAGCGCACACGGGGGATCCGCCCACCACTCCGCTCTCCTCTGCAGCCGGGCCCTTGGCCCGCGTGACCCTCCTTGTGTGTCGGCTTGGCTGTACCCATGGCGGCCCTGCACACACAGTGTCCCTTCTGCCTGGGGGGGCGTGACGCCCCCCCCTGCAAACTGCTGCCCCCCTGTAAACTGTCGCCCTAGGCAAACGCCTTGTTTGCCTCGCGGCAGATACGCCCCTGTATGGAGCTGATTTACTAAAGGCAAATAGACGGTGCTCTTTGTAAGCTGCAATTGCACTTTCCAAGAGCAGTTCCTCCAGATCTTAGTAAATGAGCAGAAGCTCTGCTGACTTCCATCATCCAGTAATGCCCAAGCAAAATGTTTTTGGGTATTGTGATTGGGTATTCACATGCAAAGTGAAGCTTTACCTCATTTACTAAGCTCCGGAGCAACTGCACTTGCAGAGTGCACAGTCTTATTTGCCTGTAGTAAATCCACTCCATGAGTTGCAGGTAAATGGTTGCCAGTTTCCAATGCTGGACAACTGGAGCACAGATGGAAGTCAAACATGGTGGTAATTCTAGGGAGAACTTCTACTTTATATAAAGCTGGGTGGAAAAAGAAACAGATGACTTACAATTTAAAAAAAAGAACGTAAACCTGATCTTTCAAATTCAATAAAAAGAACACGCCTATGACAGAAACGAAATCAAATATTCTGTTTTGTTTTCCTCGTAATTTAGATGATGAAATAATCGAACCATTAAGTCATCTCCCAGCATATGGGTTCTTATTTTTTAAACAGCGATAAGACATAGGCCACAGGAAACACAAGACTCTCCAAAACCACTTACCTTGATAATTGTCTGATTAATGTTTGCTGATACACAGCTATAATCCAAATGGCATTTAATCTTTATGTTTTCTGAAAAGAGAAAAAAAAAGGAAACATTTACAATGTACATCTGCGATTGTCATTACCGTTCCTTTCAAGAGGTTCACTTATCATCGTGGCTTGCAGCAAATAATAGCTGAAATAAATGTGCATCTATGGGTGCACAGGCGATAAGCAAATGAATGCAATTTCCTCCAAAGAACAATGCGCGGTTCTTTTAGCTGATGCACAGAACGGTAACATCAACATTACTCTGAGTTGTCGTGTGATAATAGAACACTTGTATCACTTTGCTGGGGTTATCTTGACAAACATAACAATTGACAATGTTGGTGGGGCAAACAGCAGTCCCGGTCACCCAAGTGTAGTAGGCTGTCAGCTCACAATGGGAACGGTGGCTGGGTTGAATGGAAAGCTAGGTATATAAGTAGAAACGCTGGCTTTTAAGTGCTAGTACAACTGAAAGCAAACAAAAGAACAAAGACAAGCTTCCAATAAAGTAAATGTATGCTCAAATCCTGTTTTGTAGATTTGGATAGTAGGCAGGGTCAGGACAAGGGGTGGGCAGAAGGGGTGGTTGCCCTGGGCACAATGGTTTGCTGTAAGGACAGGGGAGCCTTTCTTCTGTTACAAAGGTGACATTTGCAGTGATAGTGGCAGTGATTTTGACAAGGGATTTACTGCTGGGTGTGTGTGATCCCCTAACACAGGGGTGGCTAACCTGTGGCTCTCCAGCTGTTGTGGAACTACATTTCCCATGAGGCATTGCAAAGATGGGAAGTTACTGACTTGCAGAGGCATGATGGAACTTGTAGTCCTGCAGCAGCTGGAGAGCTGCAGGTTGGCCACCCCTGCCCTAACAGCATGAACGGGGGGGGGGGGGGGAGTTGGTGAGGGGGATTACAGTCTGCCCTGTGCGCTGGATGACCTTGTCCCGGCACTGACAGTAGGAAACAGTTAAAACCCCTATCAGGTTTTTTTTTCTGTGCTCTAGGGAAATTACTTCACTTCCTGTTCTGAACGCACAACAGGAAGTGATATGAATAATTCCTTGTTCTGTCCTACCTATGTGTATTTATTCTGTGTTGTATTAACCACTTCCCGACCGTCCTATATCAGAAGTACTGCTACAGGGCGGCACGGGTGCTCAATATCAAGTATATATACATGATTGTGCATTACCGGGTAGGGTGTACGCATGAGCCACGCACGCCCTACCCGGCCATGGCTGTCTATTACTGTGTCCTGGCCAGTGAATACTCGCTGGCATCTGGTGATTTCCGAGGATCTCTGGCGGGGAGGAGAAACTGTTTTGTTTACTAACAGTTCTCCTCCTTGTCAGCTCGGGCACAATGCTTTGAATGGCTGTGCACAGCACAGCCATCCAAAGCAGTGTGATTACAGTAAAAGCACACTGACATAGCCCCCTAGTAAAACACTCCCTGCACACAGTTAGCTGTGCTTTGCCAAAAAATTCTATTATTATTTTGCAGGTGTGGTGTATATTCTGAAATTGCAACAAAACTCATGACACCTCCAACTAAGTTAGCCCTGGCCAAGACCAAGAGCTGGAGGCATCAATGCCAGCATGCCTGCTGCTGTGCAATATTCATATTTTCTAGAGTAGGTAAGCTTGACACCAGGAAAGAAATGTGGATGTGACAGGTCGGCACATAGAGCTTTTGTTTTTGTCTAGCTGAATTATCGGTCCCCACCCCAGAAGTCATCAATCGTTATGTGTGGGCTCATCCTTAGATTCCTGTTCCCATTACCAGCTTGTCTTTATGTGGTTGACTCAAAACAACTCCTTTCCATCTCTTCAACTCTCTCTACTTTCTCTCCTTCCACTCTGTTCTCCCCCCCCCCCCCTTTATTCACTCTCTCCCCCCCCCCCCCTGTTCCCTCTCTCTATTCTCTCCTCTGCTGTTCTTTCTCTCTCTATTATGTCTCTTCTCTCCCTTCTGTGCTATCATTTTACTCCTGTCTGTTTCTCTCTCTCCCTCCTATGTCCACTCTCTCTCTCTTTCTTCTCTCTGTTCTCTCCCTCCTCACCCATTCTCTCTCTCTCGTTTTTCTGTTCTATCTGTCTCCCCCCCCCCCCTTTGTTCTCTCTCTTCTTCTCTGTTCTCTCCCTCCCCACCCACTTGCTATCCCCCCCCTCCACTGTTCTCTCTCTTCCTTCTGTTCTATCTCCCCCCGTCTTTGTTCTCTCTCTTTCTTCTCTGTTCTCTCCCTCCCCACCCACTCACTCTTCCTCCCCTCCACTGTTCTCTCTCTTCCCTCTGTTCTATCTATCTATCTCCCCCTTTGTTCTCTCTCTTTCTTCTCTGTTCTCTTCCTCCCCACCCCATTCTCTCTCTCTCTTCTTTTTCTGTTCTATCTGTCTCCCCCCCCCCCCCCCTTGTTCTCTCTCTTCTTCTCTGTTCTCTCCCTCCCCACCCACTCGCTCTCTCTCTCTCCCTCCACTGTTGTCTCTCTTCCATCTGTTCTATTCCTCCCCCTATTGTTCTCTCTCTCTTCCCTCTCCCTCTTTGCACTCCTTCTCCCACCCACATCTGCTCTCTTCCACCCCCAACTGCTCTCCCTTCTCTTCTCTCATCCTCCCTCTATCCTCTCCGCAGTCTCTCCCCCCCCCCCCCCGCTCTGTCCTTCCTTCCTCTGATCTCTATCTTTCTCTCCGCTCTCCGCTCTCTCTCTCCCCACTGCTTTCTCCCCCTCCATCCTTTCTCCCCATGGTTTCTCATTCTCCCTCCAGGGCTTTCTCTCCTTCCCCCTCTGCTCATCCTTCTCCCTCTGGTCTTTCACTCACCCTGCTTTCTGCTCTCTCTCTTTCTCTTCTCTGGTTTGTCTCTACCCACTGTGTTCTCGTTCTCTCCCTCTGCTCCCCTCTCTCTCCCACCACTCTGTCTCTCTCCCTCTACTCTCTCCTCCATTTCTTCCTTCTACTCTCCTTCCTCTCTGCTTTTCCCCTCCCTTCTCTACTTTCTTTCCTCTCCTACTCTCTTTCTCTCTTGCCCTCTTTCTGCCCCCCCCCCCTCTTTTTTCTCCCTCTCTCTGTTCTCTGCTCTCTCTCCCCTTCTCTGCTCTCTTCTTTGCTCTCTCCACCCATTTCTCCACCTTTCTAACTGTTCTCCCTCTCTGCAGCTTGTCTCTTATGATGCTGGGGGTGGCTGTTGTGCTGGTGGCTATTGTTGTGCTGGGTGTTATCATTGCAGGGGGCTATTGCTGGAGGTTATTATTACTGGTCTTGTCACTTGCTTAGGGTTATTGCTGGCCCTGACACATGCCACTGACACCAATGATGGGGTATATTTCACTGTAGCCTCAGGTCCTATTTTGCCTAAGCCATAGCAAAAGGGGAAAAGTGAAACACATTACAAACCATACACCGTAAAGTAATAACCACTTTATTGGCCATGTCCATTTTTTAACCACACAGCATTTATTCTCTTCTCTATTTGTGTAAAAAAAAATATATAATAACAATAATAATAATAATATAATAAATATTTCATTTGGGTGCAGTGTTGCATGGCAGCTCAATTACCAGGTAAAGTAGCACAGTTTTGAATAGCAAAAAATGTCCTGTTCACGAAAGGGATAAAACCTTCCAGAGGTCAAGTGGTTAAAGTAAGTGCATAAATAAAATATAAACATTTTAAAGGGTTTGTTAACCTTGCCTAGCAAAGGTCAATAATAAACTTGGAAGGCCAACATCTGATTGGTTACTGAAGGAAACACCTCTATGTTTTGCTTCCTCTGGTTTTTATAGATCAGCTCCATTGTTCTCAGTAGAGCACCAGGGAGCCAACTCGGCTCTGAACTGAGCCTTGTTGGCATACCGCCAGCATTTTTTGATTCCTCTATCCCTGGGCCATTCTCCAGAGTCCATGTGAGCTCTGCTGTCATCCATTTCGCTCTACGCTGTCCAAATCATGTTTACACTGAAGAGGGCCTTCCGGAATAATGTCAAGACAATCTCGGAGGAGATACGTTGGCCGTTTTCCAAGTCACAGACATGCCTACAGATACGCTCAACCATGTTTAGCTAAGTGAGGCCCTGGGTGCCATTTTGTGCTTTGGAAGCCTTGGTTGGTATGAAATAATTCACAGGGCTCTTAATAGCCTTTGTTTAAACACTGGAGCAAAGGAAAAAGAGAGGGCTTGTCTTTCATTTCATATGTTTAAAGCAAAATTCCATGGCAGATAAAAAGCAACACTGATTCAAAAAGACGTGTTCATTGAAAAAAAATCATTAGGTGTATCTGCCTCTTATAATCCTTTATACAGCAGAGCTCAAACTAGTGGAGGGAGAAGCAGCACAAGAAGCCAATATGTTGTACCGCTGTACTCATGTGCTACAAACGGACATGTTTATAGGATGAGAGAGCAGAATGGCAGAAAGATGAGCTCATTAGTCTTCTGCTTCCCTTTTCCTGTCCAGTCATAACCTTACAGCAGGGACGGGACCTAACTGTATTAGTTAAAGTGGTTGTAAATCCTTACATATACCCAGTGATGTGACTGCCTAAGGTGTTACACATATGAACAAATCCTTGTACACACGTTGTACCTGTTTATCTGCAGTATTCTTTTCTCTACAGCCTCTTAAACCATACATTTTACACAGCACCTCTGCACACTAGCAGGCAGGTGGTGGGGATCTGACATCACACACTGCAGAGTACATAGCAGGGAACTGAGTGTAGAGAGTGTAACATGAGACCTGGAGTGAAGGGAATGGACACACCCCTCTCCATGCAATCTCACACGGAAACATGCACAGCGGAGACTGTCAATCACAGGCTGTGTGCTGGAGCTCCCCTCCCCCATCCCCTCCATCCCTTGGAGCTGGCATTAACTGTCAGACATGATTCATGTAGAGGAACCAGGCAGCAGACAGAAATCACACTAAGCATTGGTCTGTTTACATGTAATCAGAGCTGATCACACGTAAACAGACTTGCCAGTTATCAGTCTTTTCCCCACACTGTATATATGTTAGGAAAAGACAGCTGATACTCAGCAAG